GCACCCATTGAACTTGACCCACCCGCCCGCATGATGCTGCAGATGCTCAGCAGCCAAGCACCTTTTTTGGTCGATACGAACGTCCATGCCGCCATCCGAGCGATTCAAGGCACCACCGAGGAGCAGGCTGATGTCGAGGCAATCCTGACAACATTGCAGCTGAACAAGACGGACGAGGTACGCGATATGTTGGAGTACTTTATGGTAGATCGATATGATGTTGGTGATGCGGTTGCGCTTATTAGACCACAGGAAGCGGTACAAGCACTCATCGCATTCTTAGAGGACCTCAAAAACCAGGAGAAGCAGAAACTTCAGGAAAGTGCTGAAGCGGGTGATCAAGGTCAAAGCAATAACACATCTAACTCCAGGGGAGCAACCACAGAGAAAAAGAAAGCCGAAGAACGACTTGTGGCAGAGGTAAATTATTGGAAAAGACTAGCAGAATGCATCCCTGTGGAACACTTGCAGATATGGGACGCACTAGAGAAGGGCCTTGAAGAATATCTTTCTCAACTTCGGCAACGCAAGTCACTTATAGAAAGCACGGACACGCTTCGTGTACAGAACCAGGAGCTTAGAGAACTTCTGCAGGAGTACACGCGAAGTCAGATAAACCATGAATTGCGTGCACCTCCTCAATTGATAATGCAAAATACGCACGTATGAGCATTAGGGAAAGGAAAATAAAGGCTAATGGTTCCCAATATGATGGAGTGATGTACATAATTCAGATTAATTCCCTTGGTAACCCTTCTATGGGTGTTTGTAGCCATTGAATTGGATGCTATTTGATGTAAATTACGGGTTGCTTCTCTTTTGGGGGTTGTTTTAATATTTACTTTGTGAACACTTGAATCCGAATGAATGCACCCGAACTCTAGATTTCCTCTTCACAGAAAGGACAGAGCTTTTCTTTCCCATCTCGTATTGACTTCCCATTTTTGCTGGAATCCGAATGTTTACATTATGATCTGTATTTGCCTACTTTTTAACGCTGATACACATTTTAGTTGCTTATGCTTTCATTTCCTCAGTTTTGAGGTCAACCACTACACACCCATTAGCTTATTTCCAATCCCTTAGTTACATTCATTACGAACAAAAATGTATCCAACCGGATCTGGAACGCAGGGCCAATTTGTTATTGGCCAGGCATTGGGTCCGACATCAATTAACATACATGGCTCTATCCCAGCCAGCGTAGTAGACAATCAATTTGAGCCAAATTTTCGGCAATTTGATTTTTTCCTCGAAAACAAAGAAGTTCCCGATGTAGCCACAGTGGAGAGAGTCTTTAAGACACCGGAGGGGGAGGTGAACAGAAGTTTCTATCAGTTACTCAGTAACAATCTGCGGTGCTGCCCAGTCTTGGTGACTAGTATTTTTGGAGCTGGCTTCGCCAACTACTTGTATACGCGCTTATTATCGAAGTCTGGTACGTCTGTTCGCTGGGGTTTCTGGAGGTGCTACGCATTTATTCTTCTTTGGAACAACTTTACAAAGTATTACGCACGTGAGCGATATTTCCAGAGAGATTTTCAGCGGAACCAACTTTATTCCCACGATGAGCTTCGCCACCAACGCGATCGCCAGCGTGTGCGGGAGGCGCTCTATGCGAAAAAGTTTGTTACGGACCCTATTGCAGAATTTCGCGTCAAAGCGTGGCAGGTGGCCGACCGTTTTGCATAGGAAAGGGAAAGGGAAGGAGGTAGCCTGTTTGCGAGATATTCTTATATCGAAAAAATATATAGAATTACATTTAACGGGAGCAGTATAGCATCAACTATTAGGTGCAGGACGGAGATCCAAGATTGGGTCCTACTGTATTTGCAGTATCTGCTATTAAAATATATTCAGCATTACCAAAAAACATAATGCAAATATAGTTATTTAGGCAAATTAGCGTAGGAGGAAATTGTGAGTATGGAATAGTTTCTTATTCTGCAAGGCATTTTGATTATGATCAAAAAACTTTACGCATTTATTTATACTTAAAAAGAAACTCTTAAAGACTGATGCCAATAAATAAGAGGATATGTAATTTGTTTTTAGAGAGAGGTTTTACCTTATAATGCTTGTGTCTTTTCTTATCACTACTATTTATTTCTACGGATAACTTAGATAAATTATTAAGACGCGCTATATTCTTGGATTGGTCTTTTGTTTCCCCTCAGGTGGCTTATTGTGTCCTTCAAACGCTCGATAAACATTTATATATATATATATACATTAAAGCCGCTGATTTGTTTTTAAAGCGAATTCTATCAAATAAGTAGTGTGTGGTGAAGTTACGAGCAACGCGTATCGTTACTTTTCAACATGAACACAACTCTGAACACGAAGCGTGATGTGCGTGAACATGCGAAGGTGACTCTTGAGCCCTTACTAGAGGACGACACAATTGACGCCGAAGATCTCAAGCTACTGGTGAAGTCCGTAACAGACGCGATCGCCCTGCCCACCACTCCCTCACACGTGCAGCACCAGACCCTAGAGCAGCTCCTGAGGAAACTAGAAGCGGTGGGTGCGGGTGCGGATGTGTTACAGCGCATTCGGGCGCGCCTGCCCTCTCCTCCTGAGGAGGCGCAAACGCCCCCAAAGGCAGGGGGAGGGTCCTGCGACGCCCAGCCAAGGCCTGCGCTCTTCGACCTCGGCGCGTTGAAAGCGCACATGTCTAAAAAGCGCGAGGAGCTCCATCAGCAAAAGCAGCTGGCCGCCAAACAGCCCCCCGGCGAGGGCGAGGGGGAAGGCGGGATCGACCACACGGAAGGGCAGGGAGGGGAGGCATCGAAGGCGAGCAGCGGGCCGCACTCAGAGGACGTGGCGACGATGCCCAGCCTTCTACCTGACGCCCCCGCGGACTTGGCGAGCCCCAGCGAGGGCACAGCGCGGGCCCCCCTATCCGGAGGGGCGTCGGTGGAGGCCAGCCGGGGGGCGCGCACGGCACCGATTTCGCTCACCGCGGCCCCCGTCGAGGATGACCTCTATGCAGACCTTGTCCCCCTCCCGCGGGAGCGCGCAGACTTCGACGGCGGGCACCGGGGAGTGACACGTGGCTGGCGGGGCCGCGGCGGCTGGCGAGGGGGGCTGCGACCATCTTACGACGAAACATTCAACCCGTTCTACCCCTCACCAGAGGGATACGTCCCGCAGCGGGCCTCAAAAAACTGGCAAGGGTATAATGCCCATGATTATAACTACTATTCATACCCTTACTAAAAGATATCGGTGGCTTATAGATTCTTCTTCGGAAGCACTGCTATGTTTTTATCTCCCTCACATCGTGGTGGGTTGTGTACACTACTAAGTTGTTAACGCAATATTTATCATGGGTTTCTACTAACTGCATTTTGTGATATGTTCAAAAAACAGACGAGGAGGTGAAAAAAAAAGTATCTATATGGGTATACATATAGATATATCAAAGTTAAAACCTGAGAAAGAAAGATTAAGAGTGTTTTGATATTTAGGTGTTTTTCTTTTGTGTGTGGTTCTTCTCAAGTAGTCTTGTTGAACTGTTTATTGTTATTACTGTTTGTTTTCTCTTTGTTGTGCGACACACACAGAAGCAGATAAGGGCAGAGCGAGCCCTTTTGAACTTTTATCAACAGTTTACTAAAGAACGGGTTCAAAGAAAGAATACGCACTAAGAGTCTCGGTAAGCTTCTTTTCCCAATTACTGGCAAAATGACCAGTTAGGCAAAGCTAGAATTCAAAAAAAAGTTGAACTCTTTCTTAGAAAATTGATTACTATTCATCGTTGAATGATATTGTTTAGCTTTTCAAATGATAAGCTTATTTCAAGCCAAAAGTAGCTTGCATGCAGATATAAAAAGAAAGATCTCCCATTGCTCCATTGGGGTGTATCAAGGCATTTTTTCATATGCTATGATTTTTGAGGAAACATTTATAAGGTAGTCAACAGTACGAACATATAGACGTTTGTGCGTATATGTATCGGCATGCAGCATTCTCATAGCCCAAGCTAGTATCAAGGCGATAATATGGTCTTCCATCTTTAGTTGTCGGTAATCTTGCCCTGCACTATTTTTTAAGGTTAAAAATGTCGACAAAAGTATATGAAAGCCTTATAAATGAAAAAGTGATCCGATAGTGGCTTCTGTAAAATGCAACTTTAATATTTTGAGCCGTTTTTCTAATACGTTTGTTGAAAGCTTAAACAGTTGGATTTGGTTTATTTAAATGCAAGGATTTTAATGAGGATAACATCCATTGCATGCATTCCACTTTAAATATTGCATTCTTTTTTTTTCTCATCTGCACAAGTCTGAATATTTCATTATAAATACACAATAGATCATATTTTGCGCATTCAAAGCGCTGGTATTGCACACTTAAGTATGAAAGTTTTTGCTACACGTACTGTGAGAAATCGTGAGCCCCTTATTTTATCGCTTGGTAGTCGATTTTTTTATCACACCTAGAAAATATTCGACACTTAGATATACGCATTAAGTACTTGTTGATCTTTCAGTTATAACAATCAGCTGATAAGACAAAACGGTGTGCTGGTGTATATACATACATATAAGCATACACATATAGTATCACAGCCTCAGGTCGTCCCATTTCATTCTTCTATGGATTTTACCTATCCTGAAAAGTACTTCAAAGCAGCCCTATACTTCAAGAATTGCATAGGTGACCTGGAGAGCACTACATTGCTTAATGATGAACAAAAATTAATGTTCTATGCGTTGCAAAAGCAAGCTGAAGAAGGGCCCTGTACAGAGGCAGCACCATCGTTTTGGAATTACAAAGAGCTTTACAAACATAGAGCATGGCATAAATTGGGTAACATTAGCAAATTCGAAGCGATGGTATATTTTGTCAGGCAACTAGAGGCGATACTTGGCGGTCCAGTAAACTGGAAGGAAAAAATGGAGGAAATTCAGCCGCAGTCTACGGGTATTACAACATCGAAATCAATAACAGGCTCCTCCCCGGCCAATTCATTATTGAATCAGTTGATACCTCTCTCAAATTGGGATAAGGACCTTTCTGAACATGCTGAACCAACAGCCCGCAACATTGCCTTTATGGCTTCGCAAGTCATGCACGCCAGACGCTTATGCAAGCAGTTAAACGACAAACTCACCGAGACTTCTCAGGCCCAAAAAACGTTGAAGGAAACCCCCACGCTACTCTATGAACGACGTTTGCCTGAACCTGAGACTCAGCAGTCGTCGTCTCAAAGGGGATCCAAATATCATATGGTCCCTAACGGGGGAATAACGCCACCCCTCACCTTGACTTCGACTAATTGCTCGCAGCGACGCACCTTACCCCAATTAGATCACACAAAACAGTGCGCGTTAGTATGGTTGAGTTGGATATGATAAAGGGAGGGGGGGAAGGGAAATAATAGTAAGCTCTGGCATATTAAGCGGAAGGCATGTCCTTCGGATTGTACAATATTTTATTATCATTCTGATTACATAGTGGTTTTGATTTATATCAATAGAATTGAGTTGAATTGGACCAGTTGCATTTTCACACTCATTTGACATTAAAAATTCAAATGTGGATAAATCGAGTGAGAACTCTTCTCGATGTAAGAGTGCATGTGGGCTAATTGACTCTCTGACAAAGGAACAAACCAAACATTATTGCTACATTTTTTCTCTGTTACTCACTATCTTTAAATAACAAAATGAAAAAGAAAAGACCTTTACCGTGGATATGATTCTCCAATAAAAAATCCTTGATTAAAATTTTGGCTTGTATAAATTACCTAGATATATACATTTACAATTCCTGTAACGTCGTTGTGTAGATGTCTTGGGCATGCTCTGGCCTGACTAATGACGAGTTAGTTTCGGCACTCATTAAAAACAAACTTCTTAAATCACCAGCGGTTATTGCGGCAATGCGTCATGTCGATCGCCGCTGGTTTATCCCGAAAACCTACTCAACCACCGATGCGTACAAGGACAGCCCCTTGTATATAGGCCACGGCGCCACTATCAGCGCACCGCATATGCACGCTATCGCACTGGAAGTGATGGCACCATATCTTCTGGGAGAACACCGAGTTTCATCGCCCTCGAGTATCCCTATTCATATCTTAGACATTGGTAGTGGTAGCGGTTACCTCACAGCTGTTATGGCGGATATATGCTCTACACAAAATACAACAAACAACCAGTCGTGGAAAGTCATTGGGATCGAGCATGTGGAAGAACTTCAAAAGAGTTCTCTTTCTGCCATAAGAAAGCACTTCCCAACATGGATTGAGAAGGGTAATGTGGAGATCATTTGTGGCGATGGACGTGATCCTCGAAAGACCCTCGGGATAGACAAAACGACCAGCCATCCCTTTGCCTTCGACGTCATACATGTAGGAGCCGCTATCCCTTCTACCTCATTATCTCTGACCGAGCTTTTAAATCTGAATGCATGCTTAATAGCTCCTGTTGGTGGTAAGAACGAAAACCAGAGGTTAATGGTGTTTTCTAAAAATCATCGAGGAAAGGTAACAGAAAAACAAAAATGTCTAGTTTCTTATATCCCGTTGACCTCGATTGACGAACAATTGGAAAGTCGCTGATGTAGTTGCTTTTCTTCCCTTCCTAAACTCTTAGTATTTTTTATCGTTCTACTTAATTGTATCGAATCAATATATTGAAACCCTATTGGTACGTCTATTGAGATACCTTTATATTTTCTCAATAATGCTTGTAACACAACGATACAGTATTTTAGCTTTTCCCCACGAATATTGGCTACTCTGTACCAGGATCAGCTCACACCTTGCTTACCATACGATAAATATGATTTCACTTTCTTGTGTGTGGCAAATAGTTGTTAAATATCTGTGTGAATTATTTTCTGATGTGCCTTCACCACCCGTAGGATAAAGTTTCGGGCTGGGCCCATTAGCACATTTCTTCACATAAAAAATGCCCTAAAGGAAGAGAACAAAAACAACTAAGATCTTAAACTTCAAATTTTGAGATTCCTTTGCACATTTGATTTTAGTATCATTTCTTTACACCGCATAGAAATACCTGTAGACCTTATGGATGTTTCTTCATTAGCTTCGCTATCAAGTTGCATAAGTTACAACTACAATTCAAATACAAAGCGTGCCTTCGCTGTTCCTAGGCTTGCACACCAATTCAAACTAGAGTGGTCGTGGCCTGCAGCGTCGTGTGTAGTATCTCGGCTTTCCACTGATAAAACGAATGCACCTGCCTCCCTAAAGTGCGGACCTGTTAGCTCTGTCTTGGAAGAGGAAAATGGGAAGAGCAAAGGTGACGAATCCCCTAACAAATGCCTCACATATGCAGACCCTATACCAACATCTCTACTCTTTACCAATGGTGAAATTGCCACAGAGATGCTAACGGACCGATTCCAGGGAGAAACCACCATTCTAACCATGTCAGGAGACCCACACCCAACTCCACATTGTGAATATGATACGTTTGGTATGACCTCAGAAACATTTCACCTTCAACGAGTAGCACTGATTCTATCAGCAGGCTATCGATTTTGCATCCCGCTACAGGCATTAAAAACCTCCGAATATCACGCTGATACCTCAAGTACTACCTACTGGAAGGTTGTGTTAAAGTCCCCGAAGGACTCCCCTGATGCGGTTGTTCCTTTTTGCTCAGAAGTTGTGGTTGGGGAACTGGCGGCCATTGAGTGGGTGTCAAAGCAGCGACAAGAAGAACACTCACAGCCCTTGACAAAACCTGCAAACTATCTTACCTCAAAATCTAAGCGGGACGCGGTAAAGGCCCACTGGGCTCCTTTACACATATGCCCCTCTGATCTCCCGGTACAGTCCTTCTTTTTTCACTCCATTCCTTATAAGCTAATGTGGCTCTCCTACGTGCCAAACCGCCTTCTCGTGTCCCTTCCCTGCGAGGAGCGTCTGGTGACCTTGGACGTCCCTCCCAAGGTGGTTGATGGCTACGTGTCTGGGCAAACGGAGCCCATTGCGCGGCGGCCATCGCACGCCTTTCAGCTCCCACGTGGCGTGGTCCCACTTGATATGGCCGAAATTTATGCCCGACCCTTCATCGCGGTTGGAACATATGAGCATGGTGTTCTAATATATTACCTCAATTTATCCACCGGTGAGGTGGTGTACGCCGTGCGGCAGATCAGCATCTGCGGCACCGGAAGCACTATCTTTCCTATCACAAAGCTGGCGGCTGTTTTCCCGCCACCGCGTTCTCATTTGGATAATCACCAAACAGCCAGAAACACCATTACAACAGCGTTTAAGTGGAAAAAACAAGCAGAGGATATTGCTTCACTCTCGGACGGTGTCCTTCTCTGCTCTTCTGCCTTTGACCCTCAACCATTTATAGCAAAGCAGCTGAATTTGAAAGATGCCATCATCGAGAACTTTGCAGTCGGACGACTCACCGAGGAAATAATCTGGGTTGGAAGTCAGATCGACCCACACGTTGGTGTGCTTTTTTCCACCGTAAGCCAAGGGTTTGTCCGCTTGGTGGTTTACCCAGAGGGGGGTAGAAGGTTTGGGAAGCTCGTTGGTCGCGATTCCAGCGACAGCAGTTGTCACGAGTCAAGCAGTGACGAAGCCTCAGATAGCGCGCACGAGCAGGACGTCCAACAGACACCACACGCTCACGACTACGATCACGTATTGGCCTTACTAACGAGGCTTCGCGCCAACTCTTCGTGTAGCTGCTCGGAGCGGGTGCCGCCGTTTGTGTGCGCGCTACGCAACAAGGGTAGCGCGTTAGGTGGCATTCTCCGGGTGGCCGAAGGCATCACTGTCTGCAAGGCCGAAGGAAGGTACGCACATAAGGATAATCCCATCTACGGGCCCTCGACGAGACACTGGATGCCAGCCGTCACGCTTGACAACAAACTCCTCCTTCTGGATCGAATCACAACAAGGTACAATGTGGTCTCGGCGCTCCCCTTGGCGTTGCCATCGCATGCAGAGAAAAGCCAAAAACTCCACCAGACTCGTAAAGGCAGCAATAGCGATGATGTGAATCCTAAGGACTCCACTAAGAAAAAGAAAAACACACCATCCATGAGCACCGCCCGACCAAAACGGCAACGAGGAGATCTAAACAAATCAAAGGAAACAACGGTTCCATGTGAAATGGAAGACCTCTGTACAGGGGTAGTTTCACTTTCGGCAGGACATGCCTGGTTGTGCGTTGCCGCCTCACACCATCAAAATTGGATCTCAATAGTGAGTTACTTGGGAGTAAAGAACTCCACAAAATGAAAAAACATAGACACAAAAAACTGAGAATTGAAGTCATCTAATTTTTTTCCTAGCAATGACCTCATAGTGAACGATGCTGTTGCCACAACAAACCCCTTCTATATCAAAATTGTCGGTGTATGCTTCAAATAATCAAGGTGTGTAATAAAGTGTTGTCTGCGATCAAATAGATTAATCCATAAACTCCCATCGACCTTGTTGGTGCTCATCTCCGAAACCCACAGGTCACTCAATGCTACGGCATTTCTCACCCCTTCCTCCTTCCCCCCTCCTCCCCCCCCCCCATCCCCGTCACTCCTTGACAATTTTACGGATTCTCACTTTAACTCCAAAAAAGTGTTTCTAAGCTAAATGAGATTAGCTACGCTATTACTTTTAAATGACAAAATAAATGTTTTCACTGTACGGTACCTTTATTTGTACTTCTATATATATATATATATATATATATATATATAAT